GGGAAGTAGTTTGTATTCTTTGTATCTAAAATGTCTGGTAGACCCTAAATATATTAGGAGATACGCCTTACATTGTAAATTCCAACACAAATAGTGCCAAGAGAACCACTTGCTGCTGTTGTTTCCAAAACCTCATGCAAGCAAACGTAGCATGTCCATTCATCGGTTCGCTGTAAGTGCACAGAATTGTCTGTTACAATGCTGAACGTTTCGCTGCAAGTGCACAGAATTGTCTGTTACAATGCTGAACGTATCATTTGGAAAATATACAGGTAAAACAGCAATCCATTTCTATTTTCTTATATTACTGATAACAAGTACAACTAAACTTCATCATGGCAATAAGGAAGAATGTTCCTATGGTTTTAATATGACCTTTTGTCAAATATTTTGAACTCATCATGAGTTTTCATTAATCTCAGTTGCATAAGTATCAAATCCAAATTTTGAAATATTTACCAAAGTATATATTTTATGCAAAGCAGAGTAGACTATCTTTACGATTTATCTTTAAAATGATAGCATTTTTTAATGATTCTTTGGAGCAACATTTACAGAGGAACTCCTGTGCGCTTGGGCATATACTGCCCAATATAAAACTTATAAATGCCCCAACATGTCATTTAGAATTCTGTCTCTAAGTTGAAATCAAAGCACTAGTTTAACTATTTAAAGATTTTGAACTTATTTTGTGCCAAATCAAAATATTTGGTTTTCTTGACATTTATTTACACATCACATTACAATATTTTCATGTTGTAATGAAACAGTCTTATTGAAACATACTTTGTTATACATACACTTTATAACTAGAGTCAGCTTCAGCTCTACAGTTCACATGCATATTATACCACTCCTAGGATGATGGATACCCTTTTCAGATCTGGAGCTTTTGACCAGATAGAAAAATTGTAGCCAAAATATTAAATAGGCTATTTAAATGACTGTGACCATTGCATTTTGCCACATGGTGCATGGCATTGAATGGTACTGTACAAATAATGTAAATTCATGCATTCTGTCTGTCCACTGTTAGGTAGACAAGAAAATTTGTTACCACAGACCTCACTGGAGAGTTTAGCGTTTAATAGTCTGTGATTACAATAAAAGATTATACTAGAAATATATAAATGCATGGCCTGTAATATTTTTTACCGCATCATTGCCAATTTTTTTCCTTCTAATTTTAGTATAGGAAAAATATATTTTGTGATAAGATCGTGTGAAATTTAGGTACTTTAGAAAGTAGCGATCTTTGTTTTACCTTAATTATATTTCACCAGATTCCATGTAATGTTTAAGCTCATTTCATAATAAATCATAATGGAACGTAAAAATACCAGATCCCAAAAATGTTATTGCAATACTGTGTATCTGACCACCCCTCACTAGTTTTCTCATTTTTGGGTCTCTCATTGACTTGCCAAAAGGACATTTTTGACATAACACACAGTGGAAGCTTAAAATCCTTCAACAAGGTTGCAGTTTCAAAATTTAAAAGCATTAAGTCCAAAACTGCCTATTTAATCAAGATGTTCAAATGGCCTTAACATCTAGGTATGAGAATTATAAGTATTCAGAAAAACTCTGCCTTATCTATGTAAGGCATGCTTTCTAAAAGCAGACATGACGACAAGGCATGAAAAACAATAACATTGTGAAAACAAAATGTATTCCAGTTTCAGCATTTTATTCCATATGTTCATTCACTTGTGACAATTTCAATACAAATGCAAAATAAATGTTGTTTTTTTTCAGCAATGAACTTTAATACTGTAGCATCTAGCAAAGATTAAATTGTGCATAGCTTAAACACCAGTTAAAGTTTAGTATGCAAAGTGACTTCTAAGAAAAAAGAAAAAGTAACATCCCAAGTTTTTATATGACCCACTATTAAAATGCATTTTCTAAGCAAAATTCTTCCTGAATGAGAAAGTTATTGCTGGAAAACAACATCCTTTTCTCCCAAAAGTGACAACATTAAGATTCTGTGCCAAGATAGATATCACTTATGGTTTTCCCAACTTTATTTGTTAAATCTTTATAGAGTAATGCAATATACATGTATTGACACAGATTCAACAACTTTTGTTGCAACTTACATTGATCTACCTCATAATATACTGGTAGGCTTTATATAAATGGTTTTAAATGAAATTACATCAGTACTGGCTGCATTTTGATAGCTGTAATATTGTTATCTAGCAGAAATAAGGTTACCCGTACTTTCTATGTCTACTTTGCATAGTTCATATTCTGAATACACAATATCACTCCATTTTTGTTTTAGCTAGCAAGTCAAGAGTTTGAAATATATACATGTAATTGGAACTGATGGGTCCTGTTTTGTCGACAGCTATATGCATGTTCATTTAGACATTTATAGAAAATTACATTGCCAAAATATATACATACTGTACAAGAAATAAATAGAAGAAAGAAAGAGGAAATCATCAGACTCCAATTGTTTCACTGAAAAACAATGTCAAAACTTTAACAAATAAGTACTAAGTAAATCCAGCTCTCAGGTAATAAAAATAAAAATCTAATAAATTATCTTTTTTTTTGTTTTAAGTATTAAGCCCTACCTTCATACAGTCCTATCATTCCAGTAATATATCTACAACTGGCTTGAAACTACACTAATTTATACCTATATAACAATTAAATAGGTAGATAATAAAGTTGCCTCTGCATATCTTTGGTAAATATAATCCCTGGATTGATGATAAGAAATGATATCAACACTGATGTATTTTAATGATGTTAATCATTTTCTTGCAATTTTTGGGGTTTTCTAATATTATGTTCTGGTTCCCATGTTGGCTTCTCATATCCCTTCCACTTAATGAGATATTGTTTGCCTTTTCCTTTTTTTTGTTTTCAGTATCTTCTCCACCTCAAACCACGCTGCTGAAATTAAAAGATTTAGAAATTGTTTTCTTATTATATACCTGTTAATCACCAGACACAATAAGCATGATTGGGGAAATATGATATGATTTAATTTCAAGATCAATTAAATCCTATACTTTTCATAAGACAGACTAATACATTTTTTTTTGTAACTTTAATTCAATTGACACCATACAGGCATTATTGTTTGGACATGATGCTATACCCTAATACATACACTCATACATATATGCATACTGGAAATTAAGATTTAATACATACAGCACTAATTCAGACCAAACTAAATAAGCTTAATGCAGCTAAAAATTCTATGTCAAATCACTTATTGATTACCAATGAGAATAATTTTGATAAAACTTTTTACAACATACTCTCTCTCTCTCTCTAAAAAAAATTCAAATAAAACAATATTCACAATTAAAACACAAATATAATGTACATTCAATAATTTTATTAGTTCATTTTTCTTTTTAAAATCTGCAACAACCCGGTGAAATTGTAATCCAAATAATGCATTGGTGTCTGCAAATTTATTGATTTCATTGTTGCGAAAGAATGTCTTGGGTGATAACGTGTTCTGCAGATGTCATATAGATGAAAATAGATGATAATAAGAGGCCCTCAAAAAAAAGTTATGCTGTACTGGGCAAATAGAATTTTCTGGAATTTAAGATAAAACCAATTCTTCCTATTCACTGCAAAGTTTTGAAACTATCTCTGGTGTTCTTTAGTGTTAAGATTATCAGATTAGCTGCTGTGAACACTGAATATCAGATTGGCATCATTTACGTTTAGACCAAGCAGACATTAGAAGTCTTCTGGCGAAAAGCCCCCATTTTAACATTTCAACATTACCAGTCATTAAAAGGGGAATTATTACAACAAGATTTTTAAGACAGCCATAATGCCTGCTATAGTGGATGCACCATTGGCAAGATCTGCATTTTCAGGAATATCTTGGTAGCAAAGAAGGTCTTTGGGTGAAATTCCCATGTTAATATAGTCATCCATTTGGGAGGAGTAGGTATAACAATATTTTCAATATGACCTCTCTGGTGGACAGACTGAGATTTGATTGCATCATTTTCTTTAGTTCCAAACTCACATAACCAACCCTTAATATGAACACCCTCCATGTTCAAATTACTTTCTATTTAAAAGCAGCAGTGACAAGATATCATTGCGGCGATATTAGATGTAATAACAGCACCATTTTAATTTCAGACCAATAAGACATTATATGAAGTCTTTTGGTGAAAGCACAATGTTGATATGACCAGCCATCTAAGCCCTTTTGGTCTCTGATATAACTAGTAGAGCTAAAAACCAAAGTAAAAGCACAGACAAGTAAAAGAAAGAAAGGGAGAGGCCAAGAAAATGGGAGAGAATATATTAGCAAGCAAACTCTGCCAGTTAAATAGCAAAGAAAGATTTCTAAAATAATGACAACTACAGCATCAAAATAAAAATGCAAACCAATGAGTAAAAAGTATTTCAATGAATCAGTTTTCAATGAACCTCAAGTCTAATCATCAGTGAAATTAGCTTGTTAAAACTGCATTTTATTAAAAATGAAATGAAGGAATCTATTATATTTACACTGATATCTGAAACACTACAGTAGTACATTTTATAAATCAGTGTTTGTTTTATGTGGGTTCTCTTCCTCCAGGTTAAAGTATTAACAAGACATGAAAGATGACCTCATACATGACTCCATGCTGAGCGAAGAAAAATAACTTTGTAATTAATCAAGAAACATGACTTACCGACTGACTGATCAGTTTTAGGTGGTGCCTTAGAAATTTCTGGGTGCCCACTGATGTTGACAAATTTTGCCTCTGTTCCTTTGCAGTTTGCTGATATGTGGCCTTTTATGAAGCTGGCAGTTGCTTCCATTCATTTGCCCACTGAAGAAAAGTAGGTCCTGAGGATGATGGCTCTTTAAAGAAATATAGATAACAATTTAAAAGAATTCAAATACTGTCATAAACAAAAATTCCCATAAAAGATAGTTCAAAAGTGATATAAACTGAATATAAATGACATTTAGTGAATACAATACTTATTAACACTCTAAAATAAACTGCTCCAGTGGCTAAGTGGTTAGAGCATCTGCCTCTGATGAAGGAGGTCAAGGGTTCAAAACCTGGCTCAGTCATATTAAACATTTATAAAAATGGGACTAGCAGCTGACTCACTTGGCGTTCAGCTTTAAGAGATCAGTGTTAGGACTGGTCGGCCTTTTATCAGGATAATGTGACTGGGTGAGACATGATGACAACAGTGTTGACACCACTATAAACTGACACACTGCAAACATCATAGTAATATTACTACAACTGTTAAAGCTACATTAAAATTCAAAATTACACACACACACACACACACACACACACTGCTTGGTCCTAAATGAAAATAGTACCCCTCTGACATGAATATGGCTACCATGGTGGTAATCTTGAACATTTTACATATACTCTAAGAGTACATGTTCATATAATCATCACATTGATAAGACTTGGGTTGTTAAAGCTATGTTAAAAATACAAATCACACACACTCTCTAAAATATACACAAGTCTTCAAGAAAGTTTTTGTGTGTGAAGTATCTTCAGATTTACCAGCATTTACATTAAATATTTTATAATGGTTTCTTCAGACATGGATATGTTAACAACTTAATCACAAACTATCATAATGAGTCAAATTAAAATAATGGAAGCTATTAATCCAACTAAGAATTCTGACCAAAACCAAAGTACAACAGATGAAGGGCTGTGTATACACACATATATTCAGTGTAACATGTTCATATACATAAAAAGTAGAAATATACAAGCATATACACACATACACACACACACACACACACACACGTATATATATATATATATATATATATATATATATATATATATATATATATATATATATATATACATACATACATACATACACACACACACTCTATTTCTTAGTAAAAAGGACACAAATGTAATACATCTGAGTTTTATCAGATGTAACAAGATTTTTTTGGTTGCCATAAATTGAAGTTTAAAATAATAATATTCAAAATTCACTTTACCATGTAGGTATTAGGATGTAAAAAGAATAACTCATTATTTTCAGCACCATTTACATAAAGTTATACATATATGCAAATATAATTTAAAGATGCATTTTGCAAAAAAATAGCTTGAAGTATACTGCAAAGAGACTAATGAGTGTGATTATATATGTACATACATGAGGCTACAGCAGAAAAAAAAGCAATAATACCGGAATAATAAATTAATAACAGAACATGCCAGAAGAAACAGGTAAAGCAGTTCTTTCCGCACATTCAGTATGTCTAAGTATCAAAAACAAGGCAAAAAGCAAAATGATCAGAAAGAAAGAATTTTAAATTACATTCATACTAAATAAACAGCCATTAACACCATCACCAAAGTGTATATATCACTACGAGTTATTTTACCTCTCCGACATCTTAAAAGTACATAGTGAAATAAAATAAAAAATTAATAATATAACAAGAGTAATAGATTTATGAGAATCTTTCATTATATAACATTTGCAAAATTAAGCCATTTGACACAGATGCATTTGTAGTAATTTCTGTACAATATAACAATTCATTTGCTCTCTAAATTGTGTCAAAAACCCATTAAGAGTTTTCTCAACAAACTCACAACAACCTTTATTTCTTATTTCATATACATTTTACAGAATTTAGCATCTTTACAATTTATATTTTATCTTGTTGATCTTAATTTTCACATTTATTTAGAATGGTTTATCTTCCTGAACATATGTGCAAATTCATTGTTAGATCATGCTAACTGTACCTTTAGTTGCCATTGTTTAGCCACTATTGTGTTGAGGTGACATAAAATGTAATCGACAACCATACATACATACACACATACATACATTTATCTTAATGAAACATCACCAAAAATGATCACTATCTCACTACCAGTGTACAAGTAAGTTTCAAGAAGTAAATAAGATACCTGCAAATGAGCAAATTGATTGACAGAGAGGATAATTCAATGTAATTACCAAGTGGGCACATGGTAAAGTATCAGAGAAAATTTCAGTTTATGCAGAATAATCATGCAAATGATGTCAGCTTAAGTCAATAAACAAAGCTACAGACAAAGATCTCCATATTCTGGTGTTAGAATCTATTCAAAACAGGGAAACACTTTCAAATGAAATGAAAATAAATTTATTTTTTCTTCCATTTTTGGAAATAGTGTAGTACAGGACTGGCTTTTTAAAAACTGCACAGAGTAATCTGTTCAATGTTTAAGATTTTAATAAAACATTTGTGACCAATACCAAGTGATTTTCCTTTGCAAAATATATTGAATGCACTCGGCCCTTTCAATTGGATTGATTCTGTCTTGGAAGCAGAGTTTGTTATAGCAGGCTGCTGAATACTGTGTTTCTGTCTCTGCCGCTTATTTCCAATCCAGTCCTGAAAATAATAAATAACCAGACTATACTATTCACTGTATCATTCACATTATAAAAATGATCCATAGATAATGCAAGTTTCCACTGACCTGCTGAACTCTGTTTCATCATGTTTGTTTCCTGTATAATCTGTCCTTGAGTATAAAAATCCTGGACAATGGGCAATCCAATTTGTACCAACCTCCAAAAACCAAATTGCAAAGCACGTAGCTAGCATATGATTTTTAGGCAGACTAAAACAAATTCAAAGATGCAATAAAATCACAATTTCCAAGAATGGATGTATTTAAATGATTTACAAACTACTGATTATATTTACCTCCTCAAACCCTCCCCACAAAAAAAAATTGTATATGATAAAACAACTGAGAACATATCTTTTTTAAATGAAATAGAGATCAAGAAACCTAAATAAATGTTAAAACCAAAGATTTTAATTAATCAAAAAGAAATGTACTTTTGAGAAGTTTCACTTTCATTTGAAAATTGATAGGTAAACACTGGACATATCCTGCAACTCTGACTTATGACAGTCATGGATTAATATAATTAATTGCATTGCTTTTAAATTATCAGAAATGCTGGATTTTAAACCTTTGCAAGAAAGATGAAATTCTTTTAAACAACCAACCCTGACTTGTTGCTTTGTAAGGTTCAGAGAGTGGGCCAGGTTTTCAATTCTTTGGACATCTTTTACAGTGGTCAATCCTGAATTCCATTCTGCGTCCAATCGATGAAGTTGTTCATCTGTAAAGATGTGTCACAGCTTTTTGGAAGCTGACTGCAGCAGATGATACAAAATTATGAGTTACTGCATTATTCTGATACCATATAAATAGGACTACCAATTCAGGGTAAGTAGCTAAATGATTCTGAAGATGACTGTCCTATCAGATATCTAATGTCTGAGAGGTATATTTCATTCTGAAACAAAAGGGCATAAGACTTTCAGTGAAAACTCCATATCAACTAATTTTGACAAAATGGCTGCAATTGTGGCAATATTGGATGCTTTTTTGGTAACATTTTCATTTAGGAAGTCCCAAGCATAATAACAAGTATTATGGGGAAACATAATTTAGATATTAACATCAATCCAAACACAGAACCAGTAGTTAAAAGATTTTCATCAAATCAGCACCATTTTGATTCAGGGTCATCTTTGGTACAAATACCATATCTACATATACATCCATTTTGGAGAAATAGTAACAAAATGAGTTTCAAATTGAATAATATGTTGTTTAATATTGATTTTTGGACCAACTTAACAGAAAATTTTAAATCTTTTAGTAAATGACATGGGACCATATGACTATCCACCCACTAAGAGTATCTGTACATTTTCAAGATGACCAACATGGTAGCTGTATTTCATATCAGAGGGGTATTATTTAAAATTAGAACCGAGCAATATGTATGGTGCGATTTGCTTTTTTATTTAGCTTTAAGAATTTGAGTCATCACTATGATGTTTGCAGTGTGTCATTTGATAATGATATCTAGCACTGGGATATCATGCTGCAGACATGGGGCATCATGTCCAACCCAGTAACATTATCCTGACACCAGGCCAACCAGTCCTAAAATATTCTCAAAATCTGTTTTGTGTATATGTGATCTGGATTTTTAACGTAGCTTTAACAATCACCATGATGTCTGCAGTGTGACAGTTTATAGTGATGAAAAACTGGGACATTATGCCGCAGATGTGGCATCATGTACCACCCTGTCACATTTTAATACTGAGCACCAAGCAATGCAACTGCTAATGCCATTTTTATAAGTCTTTGATATGACTCAGCCAGGGTTTTAACCCATGACATCCTGCATCTGTGGCGGGCGCTCATCCTAAGTCAGGACCAAGCATACATTATTCTGTAAAAACACAATGTCAATATAACCATCCTTGATGGAGTAGCAATAACCAAATTTTCAAAACAGTTCTTGTGGTGGTCATACTGAATGTATGTGGGTCAATATTTTCATTTAGGACACACTAGACTGGAATACACATTTTTCAGTGCCACTAATGTACACAGGTACTCGACGCGAGCTTTATGTTAAGAAAAAAAAATAATAATCTGAAGGAAACAATCATACAGAGTGACTAAATACCTCAGATTACCCCCATGAGCCGTTCTGACATTAGACCTTCTCTATCATACTATTATAGTTGAATTAGTGGTAAATTATTCAAGGTTTGAGCATATGAGCAAGAAATCAATTTCATAGATTTATTAAGAGTGTTAAGGAAATATTATGATAAATATACCAGCATAGTATGAGTTACCATATGGGTTTGAGTTGACATATTTTCCATTTCAAATTCTCTACGCTTTGCTATCACCAACTTCAAATTACGCTCCGCATCTGCAACCGGATGTAAAATCTGACACATGCGCAATAAAGAAAATATTCAACCAACATTGTTAAGGCTTGGTATCGACGTAAGGTATACTGTATCGTACGAAAGTATACGTTGTTGAGGGTTGAAGGCCTTAACAATATCAACAATTCCAGGCTTGTAAGGCTGAAACAATGGGAGTATCAGGTGACATAATAGACCACTTGCTATCAAAGTGGTTAGAGCATAAGCCGCTGATGTGGGAGGTTGTGGGTTCAATTCCCAGTCGAGTCATACCAAAGACTTACAAAAATTGTACTAACAGC